ATTCTCTTCATGTTCTTCACATATAATCTCTTCCCTAGTTTCCTGTCAGAGAGCAGAACTTTCTCTTGGTCTAGGCGAGTGGTCGGCAAACCGTGGCTCATGAGCCACATGCTGCTCTTTGGCCCCTTGAGTGTTCTAACGCCACTTCTTCAAAATAGACTTGCCTAGGCCAAAAACCGGCTTCTGCACACGCACCCACACATGGTATTTTGTGGAAGAGCCACACTCAAGGGGCTAAAGAGTCGCATGTGGCTCACTAGCCGCGGTTTGCCGACCACTGGTCTAGGCGCTTACTTGGTGGTCACCAACCACAGGTGTGCAGCATCAGCACTAGGGCTGGCCTTTCGGGAGACCTGAGATGGAACAGTAAAAACCAAGTATTTTTTCCACATGCATGCATGCAAGCTCTCCATTTTCTTTCCTGCTTCTCGCAGGCAGGCAGAGGCGGTTAGGACGATCAGGCAGGCAGGCAGAGGGGTTGGGGCAGTCAGGCCAGCAGGCAGGGGAACAGTTAAGAGCCAGTGGTCCCGGATTTCGAGAGGGATGTCCAATTGCCGGTTTAGGCCCAGTCCAGCGGGATCGGGCCTAAACTGGCAGTCAGACATCCGCCAAGGGGTCCCAGATTGGAGAAGGTGCAGGCTGGGTTGAGGGGACCCCCACCCCACCCCGTGCACGACTTTTGTGCACTGGGCCTTTAGTTCTCATATAATAAAAAATAATGTGTTCGAAGACGGGGCGGGGGGGGGGGGGGGGGGGTGGGCGGTAGTGAATCCAGTTACTTCAGTTTCCTTATTTGGTAGCTTGTAACATGGTCATATTACATTATATTTTGTGGTGTTTCTCATTATTCAGGTTAGTCTTCTGTAGGAGCCACAGAAAGTCTTTGGGAAAGATCTTAAGGTAGTTGGATAGTTAGTGCTAGAACTTGGCTACAATAATATTATACTGTTACTGAAAATTCTGCCAGAAAATAATCTTCAAAGTGACAAGGACCAATCAAGTTCCAAATACTGGGCTTTTTTTTTCTTTACTAAATGTTAAAAGATTTGCATCAACATGAATACATTCTAATGCACGTCTTTTTTACAGGTGTTAGTAAAATGGCTTTTAGTCACTTAATCGAGTTCACATATACAGCAAAGTTAATGATCCAAGGAGAAGAAGAAGCCAACGATGTGTGGAAAGCAGCAGAGTTCCTACAAATGCTGGAAGCTATCAAAGCTCTGGAAGTCAGGTAATTACTTGCCTCTTCAATGAGGTGCAGTTAGTAATATTCAGTCATGTTCACCATGTTAGGCAAGAAATTACTTTGTGTGTCTTGCCATATCAACTGATGTTTTCAAATTAAGAATATTTAAGGATTTATAAAATTCTGGATTCCAATTTGTTCTTTCCCTCTTACTTGATTTCTTTTTTTTTTTTTTTTTTTTTTTTTAAATATATTTTTTATTGATTTTATACAGAGAGGAAGGGAGGGAGATAGAGAGCTAGAAACATCGATGAGAGAGAGTTATCGATCAGCTGCCTCTTGCATACCCCCTACTGGGGATATGCCCGCTACCTTGACCGGAATCGAACCCGGGTCCCTTCAGTCCCCAAGCCGACGCTCTATCCATTGAGCCAAACCGGTCCCGGCTTACTTGATTTCTTGTCCTTATGTAAAAACTGCTAAGGTTAACTAAAGTGGCATCTTTTGCATTAGTAAGGAGTAGGTTGCTTTTAAGGAATTCTCTGTAAACTGTCGCATTGAATTCAAGTTGTTAATTTGTACCAAGTCTTATTCTAAAAAAGGTATGGCTTACAAAAATTAACATAGTACTCTTTAAAAGTGAGGAAATTAGTGAAAATAAAATAGGCCAGGTATGGGTGATAATTAGTGAAGTCAGACATATGGTGACCAAAGTATATGCTTGTTAGTTGAACCAAATCTAGCTTTGAGTTCTGAAACACCAAGTGTAAAAAAAAAAAGGAAAAACTACTCTGTCTTTCAGTATTCATGGTTATAATATGAGAACAAGTTAATTGCTTAGGAGTAATTCCTGGTATTAAAACACATAATTTCTCATAGGAAGTATTAAAACATTTACTGACATAATGAATGAAGATTTCATCGTCTTCCACAATGAATGGTGGTGGTGTAATATAGTGAGTCAGAGCAAGTGCTTAGCAATATCCCAGCTCTGCCACCGTGTGTGTGGCTTTAATGAAGTTAGCCTCCTGTCAGCAGTGCACTTCCTTATCTGTCAAATGAGGATGATAATGATACTTTCTGCATAGGATTATTTGTGAGAGTTAAATGAATTGAATGCATGTAAAGTGCTTAGCCTGGTGTCTGGCACATAATACTTTAAGATGTAAATACTTGCCAAAGCTGGTTTGGCTCAATGGTAGAGCATCGGTCTGCAGACTGAAAGGTCCCAGGTTCGATTCCAGTCAAGGGCATGTACATTGGTTGTGGGCACATCCCCGGTGGGGGGTGTGCAAGAGGCAGCTGGTGGATGTTTCTCTCTCATCGACGTTTCTAGCTCTCTATCTCTTTCCCTTCCTCTATGTAGAAAAAAATCAATAAAATATATTTTTAAAAAAAATGTAATTACTCTCCATGCTCTGTTCCTTATGATGATCCTCAGTGTAGGTCATTGGCATAACATTAAATGGCAATTTGGGCAAAATAATTTAGTCTAGTTCACTGGTGTGGTTTAGTCATAAGTTATAATTTAGAATAACTCCAAAAAATAGTAATTTATAAATAGAATTTCTTCTAATGAGCTTTGAATTAGTTTGATGACAGCTCAAGATTAAACTTTTCTGATCAGAGGGTAATATGTATATATTCTCTGATGCCTACTGTCTGGCACATAGATATGCAGTAAATATTTGAATGGTTGGATAGATGCATGCATACTGATTAAAACAGATCAGTACTCTCCTTCGGAGTACTAGGTAGCAAAATGGAAGTGAGTTTATTAGGTCGTATCTTTTCAAAGTGGGGATAGACTAGAGGTATGTACAGGGTGTCCCAAAAAACTGTCTGTATACTTTGAATAATAATTATTATTATTATTATTATTATTATTTTTAATATATTTTATTGATTTTACACAGAGAGGAATTGAGAGGGACAGAGAGTTAGAAACGTCGATGAGAGAGAAACATCCACCAGCTGCCTCTTGCACACCCCCCACTGGGGATGTGCCCGCAGCCAAGGTACATGCCCTTGACCAGAATCGAACCCGGGACCTTTCAGTCCGCAGGCCGACGCTCTATCCACTAAGCCAAACCGGTCCCGGCTGAATAATTATTAATTTCACTGTGTTAAATCTGAAAAGAAAGAAACATCAATTGAGCTATTAGCTCAATGTGTGTATACATTTTGGGACACCCTGTATATGGATGGGGCAATACCAAATTTGTGGTTAAAACTAGATGAGCATCTTCATTAAGAAATGTGTGTCTGTGCAGTGCCTTTGCGGTAATGGCAGTGAGTAACATCTCGCTGCAGGAACAGCCCTTGGCAGCAGAGCAGTGGGATGCATTCTAGGTTGGATTTGGGAGGCATTTACTTAGTTCTTATGTGAGTCCTGGGAGATGCCGGTAAGAACAACTGGGCACAGCCATTTTTCTAGTCCTGGTTAAGAACCTTTTAGAGGATTTACTACAGACTGGGGTCCTTATAGTATCGATAATTACAATCATCAGTGCTTGTCAGTGTAAAACACTAACGTGTGGAATTGTTTCTTGAACCAGTGAGGCATGCAGTATACTCCGAAGGTTTTTTTGATAATAGGAAAATAACTATTACATATTTGGCTATTTATAATAATAACATTTAAGAATAAAAGTTAATTTTAGCTCTGCCTGTGTGGTTCAGTGGTTGGGCATCAACCCATGAACCAGAAGTTCACATTGATTCCTGGTCAGGGCACATGCCCGGTTACCTGCTCAGTCCCCAGCAGGGGGCATGCAGGAGGCAGCTGATCAATGATTCTCCCTCATCATTGATAGTTCTATCTCTCCCTCTCCCTTCCTCTCTGAAATCAATAAAAACATTTTTAAAGATAAGTAAAAATTAATTTATTTATAATTAAATCAACTGGTTAAGGTAGCTCTTTATTGAGAAGGTTATTGTATAACTTATTCAGATACAGAAGGTGTATAAGGTGTTCTTTTCACAGTTGTAGTATGCAAGTATTTTTTAATGCTACTGAAAAAATACCAGGACCTTATTTTGCTTTGCTGGAATTGCATCATTATTTAAATGAGAAGGTCCCTGTTCTTTGGTAGGAAACAACATTTGCCTTATAGATTTTTCCTCCCCAAGCTGTTGAGGTATAATTTACATATAATCCACACATTTTGAGTATAGAGTTTGAATTTTGTTGGTTGTGTACAATGGCATAACCACCACCACAGATAAGACAAAGGAGCATGTCCATCACCCTAAGTTTTCTCACGACTCTGCAGTGGACCTTGGCCCCCAGCCCCAGGCAACCACTGTGGTTTTATCTTGGTTAGAATGTCATATAAATGGACTCTTACATTGCGTAGTCCTTTGTGTTTGACCATTTTCACTTAGCATTATGTTTTAGAGATAATCCATGCTGTGGTATCACTGTTCCATTTTTTTAAAATATATTTTATTAATTTTTACAGAGAGGAAGGGAGAGGGATAGAGAGTTAGAAACATTGATGAGAGAAAAACATCAATCAGCTGCCTCCTGCACACTCCCTATTGGGTATGTGCCTGCTCTTGGGTACACGCTCTTGATTAGAATCGAACCTGGGACCCTTGAGTTCGTAGGCCAACGCTCTATCCACAGCCAAACCAGTTAGGGCACTGTTCTATTTTATTGCTCAGTTCTGTTCCAATTGTATGGATCTGCCACCTGTTGATGGACATTTAGGTTGTTTCTAGTTTTTAGCTTTTACAAATAAAGTGGCTGTGAATGTTCTTTCTGTACATTCTTTGGATATATGCTTTTATTTCTCTCAGGAAAGACCCAGGAATGAAATAACTAGGTTGTATGATTTATGTGTTTAAATTTTTTAAAACACCAAAGTGTTTGCCATTTTACATCCCAGCCTGCAGGGTTGAGAATTTAGTTGCTAACACTTGATATGGTGAAGCCTTTTCATTTTAGCTGCCCTCATAGGTATACAGTGGCTTCAATTTGCATTTCCATAATGGCTAATGATGTCAAGCATTTTTTACCTGCTACTTTGCCATCTGTTTATCTTTTGGTGAGGTGTCTATTTACATCTTTCGCCCATTTTAAAAATTGGGTTATTGGTAAGAGCAGTGAAGAGTCTGAGATTCATTCCTATCTGCAGGCTGAGTTTTACAGATGCTGCAGAAGACATGAGACTCCTGAGTCATGGAGAAGGGACTTTATTTCTCATAGTATAAGCTTGATGTCTATACAAGTTTTCTTACCCTTAGAGCCAGGTTCCGCAGGGTGACACAGTGACCTAGGTGTGTGCTGGACTCCCGATGCTTGGTGTCACAGTTGAGGACTCTTATAGCGAGCTGCCAGCAAACTTGCCTGACCTTTGCCCAGAGGGTCCGTTATCTTCAGTCCACTTGCCAGAGTGAACCTGCCCTCCTCTGGAGGAAGGCGAGCTCTGTCTTCTAAGACTATTTACTGTACAAACAACCTTGAAAGATAGTCCAGAACAAGAGGCTGCCAGCGTGCTTGTTTACAGGACACGAGAAACATAAAAGGTCCATGAGAGATGTCTCCCGCAGTGCCCTCATTTCTATGTACTTCAGCTTCATGAGCATACCTCTCCCTGACCACTCTGATTAATCTGACCAGTAGGGGCTGCTACCTAATCCATTCTTCTCTTCTCACACTGGGCTTAATGAAGACAACTACCAACAGAACTCCAAACAGCAGGATGTGGCCACCCTGTAGTGCTGAGCTTAACCAGGCCCCATTCCCTAAGGTCCTGGACTCAGCCACCTGAACAGTCCCTACAAGCCAGGTGGCTTTCTCTTTACTGGGCTGTGTGCAGGGCCGCCTGCCCTTCATCCCAGAGGGACATCTCTGTATGGGGCAGTAAGCTAAGCTTTCCTCTGTACCTGAGGGAGCCACTGTCTGTCTTCTCATACGGTTGACTTTACTGCAAACATCCTTGACAAGATAGTCCAGAGCACAGCCTTCCGTTCCTAAGATGTGCAGAAATAGACTAATGAAGCATCTTCTAATGTGTCTCCTACTGTGTTCATTAAGTTGTGAGACTCTTTACATCCTCTATACAGGACCTTTGACAAATGTGTTTGCAGGTGTTCCTTGCCTTTCTCTTAACAGTGTAGTTCAAAGAGCACAAGTTTTTAATTTTCATGAAATCCATTTTGCCAATTTTTGCTATTGAGGTTTTTCCTTTTTGTGTGCTATTTAAGAAACATTTCACTAATCCAGTGTTACAGAGATTTTCTTCTGCTTGTAGAAGTTTTGGGTTTCACATTCCATTTTTAATTTTTTTTTATGTATGATACAAGAACATGAGTCAGGCTTATTTTATCATTATTGTTTTAAAATACAGTTTATTGATTTTTTCAGTGAGAAAGGGAGAGGGATAGAGAGTTAGAAACATCAATGAGAGAGAAACATCAATCAGCTGCCTCCTGCACACTTCCAATTGGGGATGTGCCCACAACCAAGGTACATGCCCTTGGAATGGAACCTGGGACCTTTCAGTTTGCAGGCTGGCGCTCTATCGACTGAGCCAAATCGGTTAGGGCAAGTCAAGCTTATTTTAAGTCAGTTGGTAGTGAATGTGGGTCTGTTTCTATTCCATTCATCTTCTGTGTCCTTTCCGCCAGTATCACTGGTCTTAACTTATTACAACTTTACAGTAAGTCTTGGAATCAGGTAGGATACACCCTCCAACTTTGTTTCTGCCTCTCCACATACATTTTATTACCAGCTTATCAGGTTTTTTTTAAAAAAGCTTATACTAGGATTTTGATCTTACTGATTTTTAAATTCATGCGTTATGTATTCCAGGAACAAAGAGAACTCCGCTCCACTAGAGGACAGCAGCACAGGAAAAAATGAGGCCAAGAAAAGGAAGATCGCAGAAACTTCTAATGTTATCACTGAGTCGTTGCCATCCGTGGAATCAGAACCGGTTGAAATTGAGGTGGAGATTGCCGAAGGCACGATCGAGGTGGAAGACGAGGGCATGGAGACATTGGAGGACGTGGCTTCTGCCAAGCAGTCCATCAAGTACATTCAGAGCACAGGGTCCTCCGACGACTCGGCGCTGGCACTGTTGGCAGACATTACCAGCAAGTACCGTCAAGGTGATAGGAAAGGGCAGCTTAACGAAGAAGGCTGTGCATCTGACCTCACAAGCAAACAGGTAGAAGGTATTGAAATTGTGGAACTTCAGCTGTCACATGTGAAGGACTTGTTCCATTGTGAGAAATGTAACCGTTCATTTAAATTGTTTTACCATTTTAAGGAGCACATGAAATCACACTCCACTGAGAGTTTCAAGTGTGAAATATGCAATAAAAGGTATCTGCGGGAGAGCGCGTGGAAACAGCACCTCAATTGTTACCACCTTGAGGAAGGTGGGGTCAGTAAGAAGCAAAGAACTGGGAAAAAAATTCACATATGTCAGTACTGTGAGAAACAGTTTGACCACTTTGGACATTTTAAAGAGCATCTTCGAAAACATACAGGTAATTAATTAGCACATACCTTATGTTAAAAGTCTATTTTCTCCAAATCGCTTCAAGTCTAAATGTCTAAGTCCTTTTTTATTGGTACCATGGAAACCATCTCTCGTATCTTATAATATGCAGACTGTCTTTATAATAATAGTTTGTTGAAATATTGATGCTTTAAAAGCAAAATCAATATTAACTTTGGAAGTGATCATCACTCTTGCACCTTGCCAATTTTTATATATATTTTAAAAAATATGTAAATTACAGTTGGTAATTATTTCCTAAGGGTCATAAATTATGAAATTTTACTTATAGTGAAACTTCACTGTTACTCTTTTTGCATTTCCTGTCTTATGTTACCACATTACATAGATGAATGCACTTATAAACAACCCTGGGCGTGTTTGTGCCTTCACGACATCGGGCCCTCTGTTTTGGCCTGGCAGGTAGACAGACAGCACAGGTCCCTCTCCCTCCCACCTCTCCATGGACAAGGAGGGACATTATGCTGTGAGCCAGGCTTGAGGGAGAGTCCCAGGGAGCCTGCCTCCAACCCCTTCGCCTGTTTTTTCCCTGCGGATTCTCCACCTTGTTCCCACTCCCCAGGTGTTCTTTGTTACATCTCCTGAGCCAGACACAGGAACTAGCTCTGATGGCTTCTACTTGGGGAGTCCCTAAACCCACAGCAGCAAAGGTGCGAGGGACGGCAGCTGCTGCAGTGTACTAAGTGCCAGACGTCTGGACACTTGTTGCCACATCCTCCTACGTGATGTTACACTGTTAACACCGAATGCAGGACTGTATCCACACTGTTCAGAATCTTTCTCTTCAGTACTGGAATTCAGACAACTTTGGATGAAATTTTTTCATAGATCCTTCACTTTTTAGAATTGCTCGCTACTTGAAACAGAAACCTGATAGATTCAAATAATTTGGTTTTCCTCACTATTTAGATTTTTGGTGTTAATACTCAGAAACGGAATAAATGCAGATAGCAAGGGAATCTCTTAGTATAGATTTAAGAGGAGTTTCTCTTTTTCCTTAAAATTAACATTCAGTATTTTATATTAGTTTTAGGTGTGCAGCATGAATGCAATTAGACATTTACATAATTTACAAAGTGACTCCCTCCCCAGTAAGTAATAGAACTCACTTTATGACATACGTAGTTAGTACAATATTATTGAGTACTAGAGGTCTCACACACAAAGTTCATTCAAGAGTAGGTCTTAGCAGCCCCGGCTGCCTCAGGACCCACCCCCCACCCACTGGTATTTCCAGAAGGTCGCTCTGCCGTCCAATCTGATTAGCATATTAGCTCTTTATTATGTAGGATGTTCCTTATGCTGTGTTTTACTTCCCTGTGACTATTTTGTAACTGCCAATGTGTACTTCTCAACCCCTTCACCTTTCTCACTCAGTCCCCCAGTCCCTAATTATTAGCTTCGTTGTTTATCTATTTCTTTTAGTTTGTTTTTTGTTTTTTTAGATTCAACGCATGAGTGAAATCATATGGTATTTGTCTTTCTCTGTCTAACTTAATTTCATTTAGCATAATACCCTCTAGGTCCATCCTTGTTGTTGCAAATGGTAAGAATTCATTCTTTATGGCCGAATAATGCTCCATTGTATATGTGTACCACAGCTTTTTTATCCAATTGTCCATTGATACGCACTTAGGTTGCTTCCATAGCTTGACTTGTAAATAATATTGGCTCCGTGTGTACTTAAAAAGAATGTATATTCTGCTTTGGGGTGAAATGCTCGAAAATATCAATTAAATCCATCTGGTCTAATGTGTCATTTAATGCTGCTGTTTCCTTGTTGATTTTTAGTCTGGAAGATCTGTCAATTGATGTCAGTGGGTGTGGAAGTCTCCTAACTATGGCTGTGTTACTGTCGATCTCTCCCTTCATGTGCATCAAGATTTGCTTTATATGTGTTGGTGCTCCAATGTGGGTGCATACATGTTTACATACATGTTGTTTTGGGCCTTTTATCATTATGTAATCTCTTTGTCTCTTTTTATAGCCTTTGTTTTAAAATCTGTTTTGTCTTAAGTATTGCTACCCACCTTTTTGTTTCCATTTCCATAAAATATCTTTTTTTTTTTTCCTCTTTTTTTTTTTTCCAGTCTGTATGTGTTTTTGATCTGAAGTGGGTCTCTTATAGATAGCATATATATGGGTCTTGTTTTCTTATCCATTCACCTACCCTATGTCTTTTGATTGGAGCATTTAGTCTATTTACATTTAAAGTGGTTATCATTAGATACATAGTTATTGCCATTTTATTATTCATATTCTTAAAGAGGCCCAATTGACATTTCTTATAATACTGGGTTGGTGGTGATGAACTCCTTTAACTTTTTCTTGACTGGAATAAAAGGCTTTATTTAAGGTACGCTAATTTGGTTAACAGGTATTTATGAAGTCTTTTTTTGGGAAATGCTTATTTTCAAACATTATATGTATATACCTGTTGCATATTTGGAAACATCAATAGCTATTGGTTTTTTAAATAACATTCTTCTATTTTAATGGTCTACTGATGAACATTTTTGTGGTAACTGCAGTTGTGTAGGAAAAGGATTAACATACCAAAAGCGCATTAAATTAGCATGTAAACGTTACTTGGTAACTAGCATGTTTTGAGAGGGGGTTTCCAGTGCTGCAACAGGTCATAACGCGTGTAATTTCCCGATAGTGTGAAAGTTGAAGCAATTGTCTCCTTTGCTGAAAACATTACTTGTGACTTTCCTGTTTGAAAGTAAGACAGCTCGGGCCTTTGGGGAGTTTTAAAATGTGCTTTCCAAGTCCTGCACTTTGTGTTTTGGGTAGGATGTAGAGCAAAAAGACCTTGTTGGATGCCTTTGTCTTTTGTTCACAATGATGTGCAATAATTTATTTAACTTAAGTAGCTGTTACAAATTATAAAACCAGTTGCCCATTGGAGAAACAGTTTAAAGTTTGTGCATAAAGCAAACTGAACTTTGTTGCCTTTTTAACCTCAACTATTGCACTAATAGTGGCAAGATGTAGATGTGATCAGTGAGCTAGTGAATTGGAGAGCAGTGCAAGTAAACAGGATTAATTGTGCTGATGTTCATAAAGAATGGATCTTTTCCCCCCTCTTAAACCAAGTGTAAAAATAGGGAAACAATCCTTGTCCTGTTTTCTACCCTCAAAATATACATCATGCACCCCTCCCCCAGTTTCATATTTTGCATGTTTTTATTAGTTTAGTGATTTCGTTTCTTATATATTCTTAAAGTATGCACTGTACTCTATGACTTTGACTACTCATCCTCTGAATTATTTTGTTTCCATTCGGAAAATAGTAATGAAAATGCCAACCTGGTAGGTCATGGGAGTAACAGTGCAGCAGCAGACTAAGTGCTGGTAGGGTAAGCCCAGAGTCGGTGGGAATGCCTACCTGGCTGTGTCTATGACGGAGGAGACAAGGTGGCTTCACAGAGGCGCGCCCTACGGTGACTCCCCGGGAACGGAGTTAGCAGGAGAGGAGCGTCCCAGCGTAACGCAACAAAGCCACACAGGCCCAGTGGAAAGTGAGGCAGCCACTCGCTCCGAGCGCTGGTAGCAGGGTATTGTGGCTCGAGGATTGGGTCCCAATGATGGGAAGCCAGAAGATGCAGCTGAACGTTGGGACGGCTGACCCAGGGCATGCACTTGGGCATCATGGTGGTGGGCCAGTGAGTGGAAAAGAGGTAGTGATGGAGGTGAAGCTGAGGTCATGGAGGTATTTTCTGCTGTAAAGGAGCTCCAGCTCCAGTTTAAAGAAGTGTAAGCCAGAAAGAGGTCTGTTCAGGTTTATGCTTTAGACTCTAAAGTTTAGAGAGAGGCTTGCCTGGATGGGTGAGATGGGTGAAACCTACTAGGTCCAATTAGGAAGCTTTTGGAGTCAGTGGAACAAGAGTGAGGGACTGAACACAGGCAGAAATGGTGGGAAAGGTGTGGGAGTGGACGTAAATAGGCAGAATCCACAGGATTGGTGCCGGGCTAGATGTGGGAGTGACGGGGGGTGGCTCCAGCTTTGTGCTTTGGCTGTGTGGTTGGAGGTCATTCACTCAGGAAAATGCAGGGCGTTAGCACTCTGGAGGGGAGGGGACATCAGCTCGGCACACCTTGGGACACAGTGTGAGAGAACCCAGAGAAGACCCCTAACCGTGTTCCAGCGATGGTCTCCCACTTTCCTCGAGGTGGTGCATGGGCACAGGAAGGACGTGGGTCTGGGAGTCAGAACTAGATTCCTCTCTGGTCCTGGCCTTCGCCACCGGGAGGCCCTTGGCTGACCACTATCTCTGGGCCTCTCCTTGTCTCTGAAAATAAGGGTAACGATGCCTACTTTCCAGGCTTTGGCACTCTGACGGCTGTATCCCACACAGCCGAAGTATAATTAATCTGTTGCTATTTTTAGATGTGACTGGGCTTATTAGAACTGGTGTCTTAAATACCAAAGCTCAGGTGACCTGCTCTGTAAAGTGAACCTCTCTCCTACTTCAGTGGGTCTCTCCGGAAGTCACAGCTGCCATCCTTTTCTTACTTATCCTTCCAGGTACATTTTTTGCATTTTCAAGTCACCGCAGAGAGATGCACACAGAGCTCTTAGCTCCTAAGGGAACAGGAGCATGTGGTAATGTGTGTGCTCTTCAGTTTATCCTAACAGTTTAAACACAGGGGGCGGGGTCAGTCTCTCATGGTTTTTGCTGTGGCTGCAGGGCATTCAGTATGGTTTCCGCCCCACTCCTTGATGCATACTAGAATGTTTCTAGTCTGCTGTTACACACTGTGCAGCACTGACTACTTGTACATATACCTTTGTGTACATGTTTAAGTAATTTAATTTACTGATTTTAGAGAAAGAGGGTAGGGGGGAGAGAGAGAGAGAAAGAGAGAGAGAAACACTGATTTGTTATTCCACTTACTTGCGCATTTCCTTGGTTGATTTGTATGTGCCCTGACTCGGGATCAAATCCACAACATTTGCGTAGCAGGATGACTCTCTAACCATCTGACTTCCCAGCCAAGGCCTCAAGTAATGTACTTTTTTAGAGATGAGCTCTGAATCCCACAACTTCACTCTATCTTTTAGAGTTTAGACTGTTCCATCTGTCACTCCCACCTCTCCTCTCCTTTTCCAGATAGGTAATGTCTCTCTTTCCGCTCGCTGGCTTGTCCCCTCTAGCCACTTCTCTTCTCTCCCAAGCCCTCTGCACGGACTGTCACTGACCTGCCTCGCTCGGTGCCTCTTCCCGCTGTATCTGCTTTCCATCACACACACACTCACGCCATTCTTACTGGAGCCCAGCTGTCCCCTAGTTTTCCTCCCTACGTCTCTGTCCGCTGTGGCGCTGATGACTGACTACCCTCCTGAACGTGCTTAGATTCCCTCAGTGTGCTTTGCTTCTGCTCCTGCTTGCTCTGTTTGCATTTCCTTTGCGGCCTTATCAACCTGCAGTCTTAACCTGGCATTTCATTGCGTTCTGTCCTGGATTCTGTTACCACGTAACATGCCGCGAGCTTCATCCACATCAGGGTTTTTATCGCCACCTCATGTAACTGCTAATCTGTGTACTGCTCCACCTCTAACTGGCTCCAGATTTGACTGTACAACTGTCTGCACCTCAGACTCAACAGACACAAGACTGAGCTCACGGTGTTTCCCAGCACAGCCCGCTCCACCCCTGTCTGCACTTCTCTGCTCTCTGTCCCGGTTGCTGGTCTAAGCCAGATACCTCCCTCTTTACTCCTCACCCACCGTGCTCTGCCTGGAATAAACTTCCTTTTTCCTTCTCTCACTCCATTCCAGGCAGAACTGATCCCTCTCCTCTCTGCTTCTGCATACATTTCCCACGGCCCCCTTGTCCGTAACAGGCCTTCTGTGGTGCAGCGTGTGTTCGTTTCCAGGTCTTTCTCCTTCGTGAAGCTTTAAAAAACAAGGACTATTTCTCTGTCCTCATCCCACAATGAGCACGTGGTCTGGCGCGCTCAGGAAATGCCTGTGGAGCGGACAGTGACACGTTTCCCCAAAATAGAGACTAATCTTAATTTTAATCTAAGGGAAGATAGATAATTTTTAAGAAGTGCAAAATTATGGAACAGAACTTAGATCTACATTTTACCAAAAGAATCAACTTCTATTCGCTGTTTCTATTTTTCTTAATTTGTCAGTATAACTTTTTCTATTCTAACAGGTGAAAAACCTTTCGAATGTCCAAACTGTCATGAACGCTTTGCTAGAAATAGCACCCTCAAATGTCACCTGACCGCGTGCCAAACTGGAGTGGGGGCAAAAAAGGGAAGAAAGAAGCTTTACGAGTGTCAGGTATGTGCCGGTGTGTCCTGTCCGCAGCAGTCTGTGTTTGAAGTCGGTGAGGCCGAGAGCGGACGGTGTGGAAGGACGTGAGAGTCAGGAACATCATTGTCTTACTTTTTATGAGGGGGTTACATTAGTGATTTCTACCGAACCCTGGATGGCACCACTGCCCACAAGCTGTGTTCTAACTAGCAAGTTGTCTGAAACAGGAGTGGGCCAGGGAGAGCCATGCCATCATGGGTTTTCCCCTGGTGAATGTATATTTACCGCAAATATGCATTGCTCTAAATTTCTTTGTTATGGGAGAAATTATAATGTTGTTACTTTGTATTAGAATTTATATGACATTTAAACAATGAAAGCACAATCAAAATGTTTTCCAAAATGTATTTAATTTGTTAGCTACATCAGCTAAAAGACCAGATAAAAGAATTATGAAGTCCCTTTGACCATATATTACAAATAACATATTCAGAAAAATATTTTAATGCTTTCCTTACAGAGAATAAATGAATCCATATTCTCTGTAGTGTGAATAGAAATATTGTTAACACCAGATATTTGGTTATTTCAGGTCTGTAACAGTGTGTTTAACAGCTGGGACCAGTTCAAAGATCACTTGGTAATACACACTGGAGATAAGCCCAACCATTGTACTTTATGTGACTTGTGGTTCATGCAAGGAAATGAATTAAGACGGCATCTCAGCGATACTCACAACATCACGGAGCGTCTGGTAACCGAGGAAGTTCTTTCCGTGGAAACGCGAGTGCAGACAGAGCCGGTGACGTCCATGACGATCATCGAACAGGTGGGGAAGGTGCACGTGCTGCCGCTGCTGCAGGTCCAGGTGGACTCCGCCCAGGTGACCGTGGAGCAGGTCCACCCGGATCTGCTCCAGGACGGCCAGGTGCCCGACTCCCACATGACCGAGCTGCCGGAGCAGGTGCAGGTGAGCTACCTGGAAGTGGGTCGGATTCAGACGGAAGAAGGAACTGAAGTCCACGTGGAGGAGCTGCATGTGGAGCGGCTCAGCCAGGTGCCCCTGGAGGTCCACACTGAGCTGCTCCAGGCGGGCTTGGATCAGGTGTCCCCTGACATCATGAAGCCGGAAGAGCGGGAGCCCAGCCAGGAAGATGAAGCCGAGGCGGCCGCGGAAGACCAGGGCGATGCCGAGGATTCAGAGACCAAACCAACAGAGGAAGATTCCCCCGCGGAAAGCGCAGGCACAGAACAGAATGCCGAGGCCAGTTTTAGGATGAAATAACGAACGTATTTTTAAACGTACGTGTTGGGCTTTTGAACTGATGATGTGGGTGGGGCAGTGTGACTGTCCTTGAGCTGACAGACAAGCGGACCAAAGTTCAACTCTTCCTTGTTGTGCTCAACTGTCTCTATTGAAACGAACAGATTTCCCTCCCACGTAATGCCCAGAGGAGGGACGTTGCCCATGGCGGATGGGAAGTTTTGGGAAGTATATTTCTGGAAACTTTAAATGGATTATATTCTTATACATAGTTGGGTACGAACGTATCTATTTTCATTGTGGCGAGGGCCCTCCCTTCTCTTTCCCAGGTTGTGTTCTTCCTCGTAGAGTCAAACAGAATCATTGGAATACAAGTGGGTATTCTAATGCATGCTAGAAAAACGAATCCATAGGAAACGGGCCGCATGAAGAAAAGTGCGTTGTTACTGTGCAGTTACGTCGTGGCTTCTGGCTTCCTTTAGTTTGAGCGCGTTCTTGTCTACCCGATAGTCCCATCTCTGCAACAGAAATGTCCAGAATGTAAAAAAGATCAACACCCACGTGCCTTTCAAAACCAACCGAACTTCTCTAAAGCACCTCTGGTTCTCTCAGAGTTTGTGTTGTGAGGAGCGATGTAGATGATGCTCTGTAGGACTTTATCTTTTTGTTTCTAGTGACAACTACCGGTTCTTTTTCACGGAAGTTAGGTTGAGAAATTTCATTTAATGGCAGCTGAAGGGCCAATTTCAATTGGGAAAATTCATTTATATCTGGTACCCTTTTTTTTTTTGAAGAAAAATTGCACTAGTATTTTACCACCAGATTAAAAAAGATGAGCATCATTTAAAAATTAATGTATTTAAAATAAAGTACAGAGGAAAACATGTATATAATATATCAGGCTTTGTTTTGAATGAATCTTTCCCCCGATCCTTAATGTAAAGATCTTGTGCTATAACTTTTAAAGCCATACAAATAAGAGTGCTAAACTGTGGACTTCAAAGTAGGTGTGTAAATATTTTTAATCAGTATTACTTGGAAAATAAAATATAACAACCACATAAACCAATATGCTATTTTCTTTACCTGTTAAATATTGGGAGATATTTACATTTTTAAAGTAAACTTTAAAATTAAGTGTTCGTGACTCTTTATTTTTTTAATTACCAGTGTGGAAGTTGGTTTGTGGTCAGAGATGTTTTCTCATCTGTATTAACATGACTTTATGTACCAATATTAACATGATTGACACATGAATTGAGATATAAAAGTCTCAGGACACACCTCCAACCCTCAAAAACCAGTTTAAAAGAAAGGAAGGAGGAAGAGGTTGATATTTGCAGTTAGTAAACAATGGGCACAAAATTCAGGTTCTGTTCTGTTTGGCGTTTTTATTTTTTCTTTGAAGACAGGAAATGCTGACGAAATAAATTGAAATCACATTGAATTTTCAATTTGTCTAAGAATGTCCATGTTTCTGAGTTAGTTGTAGTTTTGAAAAAATCCCAGACAAATAATGGTCTCAAGTACACACATTCCTAGTGAATTTTGAATACTGAAAATAGCCCAGGTTGTGCCCTTAAGCCAAGGTATGAAACAAGGTTTATTTTTAAACACTTTCAAAAGTTCTGACCACAAGGTGGAGATCAGGGATAGAAGCCCAACGAAGTTAGAATTATGATTTGCGTTTTCAGATTTGCCAAGGTCTCTCAAGGTGGATTTGAGGGGCAGGTACAGTTCCTTTTACTTTTCCAAGAAGGTATGTCAGTGTTCTCCAGATACCAGCAACTTGGCTTAACCTCTGTAACAACCTAATATTGCTTTGCAGTTTGCAAAGCACTTTTACACATGACACAGCTCCTAAAGCTTCCCGGTACTGAACTGGGTATTTCGTTGCTCCCACTTGACGCCTGCTAAGGTTTTCGGCTGGGTCTGCAGTGTACCAGCCACTGGTCAACCGAAGGGGCCTCTTCCATCTCCCATCCTCCACTCTTCCAACAGCAGTTCTTCGATGCTCTGCTCACACTCACTGGGTGTCCATCAATTCATTCAGACACTACTGAGCAGAGACTCCCCAAGCTGTGATCACAGGCCTGCCCCACTTCAGACACCAAGACAGCCACACTTCACTGGCCAACTACAAATGGAGGACTTTCTCAGGCTCGGTCACTCGCTAGAATGACTCCAGAAAGCACGGATAACAATAGTTTTATTATAAAGGCTAGGACCTAGGAACAGCCAAACGGAAGAGGTGTGCAGGGTGGGGAGCAGTGAGGGGAGGTGGACAGCTTCCTGGCGCCTCACCCTCCCAGCAGGTGTTCAACCTGGAAGCTCCCTCGACCTTGTTCGCCAGAGGTCTATCACGTGAACATGATGGAGTAAACCATGGCCCGGTGTTTATTGAGCCATCCTGCCTCTTGTCCTTCCCAGGGATCTTGGGGTACGGCTGATGGATCTAGCCCTCTAATCTGGGGGCAACCGAGGCCGAGTCCCCTTGTTAGCATAAGCTCAGGTTTGGGGCAAAGGGGCTTGTTAGGAATATAATTGAGAAAATTCCTAGGGTTTTAGGAGCTCAGTGCCAGAAACCAGGGACCAAGACCAAATTTTTATTTTTTTTATTTTTGGTTTCAGAGAGAAAGGAAGTGGGAGAGAGAATCATCAATGATGCGAGAATCATTGATTGGCTGCCTTCTGCACACTTCCCACTGAGGATCAAGCCCGTAACCCAGCCATGCGGCCTTAACCAGAATTGAACCCAGGACCCTTCAGTCGCAAGCTGATGATCTGCCCACTGAGCCAAACCGGCTGGGGCCCAAATATTTTTTTATTACACCACCCTTACCAAGTGAGATTCAAAGGAAAAGTAAACTGAACTCTAATCTAGCAATCTCAGTATGTATAAAACCAGAAGGCTCTTACTATAGTCTGACTAGTTTAGGAAAGCTGCCATCCTATATTAGGGGGAATACTTTTTTAATACATTTTTATTGGTTTTAGAGAGAAAGGAAGAGAGAGAGAAACATGAATGATGAGAAACAATCATTGATCAGCTGCCTCCTGCACGCCCCCTACTGGGGATCAAGCCCGCAACCCGGTATGTGCCCTTGACCAGAATCGAACCTAGGACCCTTCAGTCTGCAGGCTGACGATGCTCTATCCACTGAGCCAAACCAGCTAGGGCTGAAGTAGGAATATTTTTATGGTGATGGCAATGCCCACACCACATTCAATCTGGAAGTAAAGATTTCAGGATTAAAAGGGTCTGTGAGGTCTAGACTAATTGTCCACTTTATACTTTAAGTCAACAGTAGAGACTGAGGCTAAATGCAGATAAAAGTCAACCAGGAAATCAAGTGGATTTTATTTTTAATTTCTTTATTGATTAAGGTATCGCATATTTGTCCTCAACCCCCCATTCCAATCCCCCACCTCACCCCCTCATGTCCCTACCCCCTATTGCCCTGGACCACTGGTTAGGCTAATATGTACATAAGTCCTTTGGTTGATCTCTCCCTTTTATTCCCACCCTCCCTCTGAGGTCCAACAGTCTGACCCTTGGCTCCTTATCTCTGGGTCTGTTCTTGTTCATCAGTCTATGTTGTTCACCATTTCCCCTAGATGAGTGAGATCATGTCCTACTGGAAATATACTTCTAAGAATCAAAAATGAGACAAGCAAAAATCATGCTGAAAGGCATATGAATCAGTCTGTAGTGAGTTTCTTTGTGGGCCACCAGTTCTTTTGAGACCCAATTTCAATGTCAAACAGTTCCTTATGTGTACTTGTCAGCAATGATATTTCAGTTCTGGATGGTGGGCAAATGGTGGTAATGCAGGCCCAACCCTCTCTGGTTTGGTCCTGGGCAACCTGCAGTGTCAAGTGGATTTTAATGCATATCTTCAGTTTAATAGTGTTGATGGTTCTAAACAAATGACCAGACGGTCATGGTGTTCACATGGAAATAGTGTTTTATTACTGTCACAGCAAAAATTGCAAGAAAATGCCTGACCTTAAAAGTCAGGCTGAATCTGTGGGAGAAAATGTAATAGCTTTGCCGTCATGAGGGTAATACTGACCTCCATGCTGTGACATCAGGAGATGGGGACGTAGGCGGCCTGTTTTTCCTGTGTGATGTGCCCAGCTGTGCTGCAGCGCTGACAAAACTTGTCACAAAGGATTCAGATGAGAAGCAGCATGAATCAAAACTATCAAAACCTCACAAGCACCACTTGGTGGGATCCTTTATAATTGGTGGCCTGAAGTACGTGGCTTTAAACAGTGGATGTGAGGCCAACATTGTTCATCATAAATGCATTCTGACTTTACAGGGTGCCTGAAAACTGCCCCTGCCCCGTGTCCTATAAGCGTTACTTCATTCATTGTGTTGACACGTTAAGTAGGAAGGCAGCCTGTGAATTCCATGGTTTTTTTTTTCTCCCGAACTTTGCTGTAACCTAATATAACATGCTTCTTTAAATGAAGCAAGGCCCATCCACCTTGATATTTGTACTAAGATACAGCCTAGGAATTAAAGTTTTCACTGTAACATAATAGCATCATTTGTGAGTCACTTATTCTATGTCAAGCGAATTGCAGTTAATGGCCTCAATGACCTCCTGAGGTAGATGTAAAAGGAGGAACCTGAGGGAAGGGGGAGGTGAGAAATGGCTAGGGAATAGTAGGGCCAATGTTGGAAACCAGGGAGCTAGCTTAGCTGACTCCTCTGGTTGAAATGCACTCTCCCCCATCCCCACCCCACCCCTCTGTGAGATCCGAGGCTAACACACCTGCTCTCCTCTGGGAATCCACACCGGCCCTCAGTGGGGTCAGGGGTGGAGGGAAGGGAATGGAGCAGCCAACTGCGCTTGGCTCTCTCTCTGCCACCTCCTGCCCTGGGACCACCCCACCCAGGCAGTGGTTTTCCTGCTTCAGTGGCAGCAGCATTGCTCGGACCCACATTGCTGGGCCCCACACCCACACATGCTCACTCACCTAGTCTGGGTCAGGCCGGAGAAACTGCATTGCTCACAAGTTCCCAGGTGGTGCTGTCAGTCCTGGAACCACTTTGGAGAAATGGACATAGGATCTCTCAGAACTTACAATAATCATAATCATTGCTACCATTTATTTTTTTGTTTGTTTTTTTAAAATATATTTTATTGATTTTTTTACAGAGAGGAAGGAAGAGGGAAGGAAGAGAGATAGAAACATCGACCAGCTGCCTCCTGCACACTCCCCACCGGGGATGTGCCCACAACCAACATACATACCCTCGACCGGAATCGAACCTGGGAACCTTGAGTCCGCACACCGACGCTCTATCCATTGAGCCAAACCAGTTTTGGCAACCACTTATTTTTTAAAATATATTTTTATTGATTTCAGAGAGAGAGAGAGAGAGAAACATCAATGATGACAGTCATTTTATTGGCTGCCTCCTGCACACCCCACACTGGGGATCGAACCCATAAACCGGGCATGTGCTCTGACCGGGAATCGAACCACAAACTCCTGGTTCACAGTTCGACACTCAACCACTGAGCCATGCCAGTCGGGCTCACTACCACTTATTAAACTTATCAAGGGGGTTCTGGCCTTCTTTGAGCCTCAGGACTTAGGAATGTGCTTTAACACATTTTCAGTAGGGGATCCCTCCCCCATGGACTCCAGGTTAAGAAAACCTAGTTTCTTATTTGCCAGAAATAATCATAAATCTCATCAATTCTCACAACAACACCCCGATTCGAGATGAGGAAACTGAGGTCAAAAGAGTCTGGAAACTAAAGGGTGTCACACAGCAAGTAGCAGAGCTGGGCGTCAAGGTGTAGCGTTAACACCGTCCACGTTTCTCAAAGCACAGAACAGTGCCTCCTGCATCCGCCCCTTCCCCCTCCGCAGGTGTTTCCAAGTGTGTATCACCTTCCTTCCTGCCAACACAGGGAGAGGGGTTAGTAACTACGTTGCTTCAGTGAGCTCCCCAATAACCAGGAAACTGCCTTCCCTGTCTTATTCATCTGACAGTTTCATCAATTCTTTTGAAAAAATAATCTTTTTCTGATATTAAAGTATTTTTTCTGACATACAGAATTGTAATATATATATACACACACACACACACAAACACTGGAAGATATTAAGATCA